TGGACTGGCATGTATACCTGTAATTTTACGATTATGCTATAAATGCTCCCACAAAATGGCTGTTTTGTCACAATGCACCCATTTCGCAGAAGGCAGTAGAAAGGCAACAGACCAGAGACGTTAGGAGTTGACAGCATGCAAATATGATAAATACATAAATTAATATGACTGTTGGCTTGGGGAATATTTTCTGAGACGCAAACGTACAAGATTTACAAAATAAATAGATACAAGATGTCCAAAAGATGTATAAGAGAACCTACTTCTCAAAATGCCCACAAGTCAGAGGACTGAATCCAATGGCCAACAGTCCCTTCCAATGTTTTGATTTTGTGGTGATAATTATTCTGGTTTTGGTATCTGAGATTTTATAGACATAGTAGCCCCACAGTGAGATAGGCGGCAAATAAATTTAACAAATAAATAAACATTTCTCCAGAGCAAAAAGTTAGTATGGTGTTTTGATCAGCATGCCAGACAAATTAGAAAATCATCCCTCATTCTCAGTGATGGTCACTACAGCCCTATGTGGTTATAGTTCTCCACATAAAGAGGAAAACAATCCCCCCCTTTATAATCTAGGGAAATGTCTGGTGACTTCTACTTCCACAGGAGCTCCCTGTGTAATATCAAACCTAATAAACAGTGAACTCTGTAATGTACAACTATACTCTAATAGTCCTAAATGCAAAGAGGGAAGGAAGAATAGTGACCGTCAGCAACTTTTCCCCATTTTCCAACCTCTTATCTAACTAGGTAAGAACAATTCCAAAAGCCTTATGTCCATTTAATTTTCTATAGAGCCAATCACTGCAACTCTTTGAGGCCCCACAAGCCCTACAAGCAAGGCCAAATAGCTCTGAGGGCTGACTATACCATATTTCTTTTCAGATCAAAAAAGGGACAATTACACAGGATAATTAATTTAACTTTATTGCAGAAGGCATAGACTTTGATTCAATATCTCATATTACAACATAAAATGAAATAAGGTAAGACTGGTTTACAACTACCTACTTGTATTACAGCCAACCAGATGCTTGATGCCCTCAGTTTCAAAATGGAATGAAAAAATAGTTTCTGCCTATATTCCACAATGAGTAAACAGAATAGATGCTAGGCCCGTGATGGCGAACCTATGGCACGCGTGCTACAGGGGGTACGTGGAGCTATATCGGTGGGCATGCAAGCGTTGCCCTAGTTCAGCTCCAGCGCGCATGGTGGGACCGGAAGTTGAGAAATGGGCTGTTTCCGGCCTCCAGAGGGCCTCCGGTAGGGTGGAGAAGGCAGTTTTTGCCCTCCCCAGGCTCCTAAAAAGCCTCTGTAGCCTGAGTTGGGCGAAAAACGGGCCTACCAGGCCCTCTGTGCCATTGTGTACCAAAAGAGGGGGAACGGGGGGGGGTGTATCGTGCGCATGCGCAAGGGGGCAGGGCGCATTGAATTATGGGTGTGGGTACGCGTGTGTGTGATCCCCCTGAGCTCCCCCTGCTTTTGGCACACAATGGCAAAAAAGTTCGCAATCACTGTACTAGGCTATTAAAAAATTGTATTGGCCCTCTGAAACTTAAATCCTTTTTTGCTCAACTATATACAGTTCTGATACAAATTTACTTAGATTTTCTGCCTGAGGCTTAGAAGGAAAACAATGTAATTTTGCCTAATAAAATATTATCTCTCTTTTAGGGAAAGATCAAGTTGACTGTGAAAATGCAAAAGATCTTGTCAAGATACTAGGAACAGTAATGCAAGTACGGTAGTTAAGAATGACAGGCTCATGTGCATCAAACATATCAAGACAATATGAGGAAACTGCCTGCCAGATTACTTTTGTGTCTAGATGGAGTTGAAATATTGGACCATGTAATGTATAAAGGTAAGAAAAACTCCAATACAAGGTCATGATTGCTCTCCTGGCATTTCCCATGCTCCAAATTCTAGTACTTATTAAAAACCCATTGCCTGGGCTGCACAATTGTTCATTTCCCTAGTTACAACAGGGATTTTTGTTCCCTTTGAAGAATATAGATTTTTACGATTCAAAACAGTTTGGATGTGCAGTCTTATGCATACTTAATTGCTTTTCTGAATTCAATGGAACACACTTGAATGGATACATACAGCACTGTGCAAAAAGCTTTTTGGATATTATCTACACAATTACTGTTACTTAAGTCATTTGTCCATGTGATTTTAAAACTTTTTATCTTCAAGGAATTTGTTCCATATTAGCACTGGTGAAGCACTAAGATTCAAACTATGGGCATGTAAACTATGATTGGAGAATATGGGGCTAAGTGTGTGCTGGCCCTAGCCTTTACTTCTTGTGTGCCCACCTAAACTTATCCATCTCATACATTAAAAAACAAGATTTGGAGAGGATAATAGTTTCATTAGTCTTCATTTCAAAGTAGCAAAAGACCTTGATAAAATCTAGTCCATATCACCTGGAAGGTTTTAATTTTCTAATGAAAAAGTCAGCATATGTTTTGGCCTACATTAACTTTGCATAGCAATATACATTCTATGCTCAATAACATGGGCAGAAACTTATGGTTTTCTATATGTTGCTGAACCACAACTGTAGTTCCTTCAGCAAGGCTGTAAGTGAACATAGAGAATTGTAGTTTACCAACATCAAAAGGAACACTGTTCCAAAGGGGGGGGAGGAGATGAATGATAAAACATGCAGCCATTACACAAATGACATTAGAAATCAGGATACAGGTATATAAAGGTGGAGTATGCCCTATAGAGTCACTGCACACATGCCATCATTTTGATATAAACTCAGTTTGCAGCAAATGCCAACTCTTCCTTTAAAGATTGCCATTAATATTTATTAATTATTATTACAACCATGGCAATCAGATAGTACAATGGGACGGAAACCACCACTGTTATAATTGTTGGTAGAGAACATGATAAACTTTATAGGGAAATCCTCATTCATCAGTGACATAATGCAAGCCATCTGAAGAGAACATCATCTAATAATCTGTAATGAAATAAAGAATTTATGAATTACACAGCCCTTTTTGGAGCTGTGCTGGAAGTTGAGAAGGCCTCAAAAGCTTAGTAACTGTATTCTTGCAAAAGTGAGTACTTATATTTAGTAACTGAATTGGAGAATGTTATTCCAAAGTTCAAGATGGCTTTCAATAATAATAAGTGAACATCATAACAAAATGCAGTTAAAGCCAAAATTAAAACCTCTCATTATGAACAATTGTTAAAAGGTTAGTGAAAGGTTTTCCCCATTTTCCTAAACAGTGGCACCAAGTACATTGCTTTAGAAGTACATTCCATATTTCAATACTGGGAAGTCATATTCCCAGCTTCTCACTACTTAGTAAAGAAAATTAGTGCTGTGTATTTAGACTAGTTCAGCCTTCTCCCATTTGGTGCCCTTTGCACTTGTGCAAATATAATGCTGTAATTCTCAGGCACAACTGCTTTTTGAGATTACTGTATTTCAATACATGAGAGACTAAAATTAATGGTTTAATATGGTAATCAATGACTATGAGGGGCACATTAAAAATATGTTACTAAGTATTCTCAACTGTATTTTCTAATTCTAAACAACTGATCTCTACAAAATGCTGCAATTTTTTCATCGCAAATACAATAAAAAATAAACACAACTAAGTAAATGGTAAACTGCTTAGAACCTTATTTGGGTTGAACAGCACATAAATTGTGCTAATAAATTAAAAGGAATAATGTACTTTAACGTAACATGTATTTTAAAAGAGTAGATACACATACATGTTTATCTGCAAAATCTTTGTGGAAGAGGGAAAATACTAGCATCTTCTAGATAACAATGCAACCACCTCCAATTTGCAAGAAATGGCTTCAGATGGCTTACAGTAGATTGTTTTCCCCATTCGTGTTCAGGGCTATTAGAAAAGAACAATAGTAGACCATTGTTTCACTAAGTTCTCTGTTTCATATATACAGAGATGGGGTTTAAAAGTGTGTTTAAAACTGAGGATGTATTTTATCAATATTTCAAATATGTTTGCAATTGTGCAGTTAACAATTTTCAAGGGGAGATTCTATCCTTTCTACGCCGTTTGCACAATCAAAACGAATTGGGTGCAAGTTTGTTTCCTGCACTTCCATTCAGTTTTATCAATAAAGAGTTTGCATTATTTTTTAGCAGCCGGAAGCGAAGAAAAGCGGTCCACAGGGGAGGAGGGGTTGATGCAATATTGCAGAGATTGCATGGAGGGGGTTCCTGTTCTTAAGCTCCCCTGGAGGAGGAGGAGGAGGAGGAGGAGCTCTACCCTGTGCGCCTGGCTTTGTGTTGAGCTGCTTACACAGAGCCACACGCTCCCACAGTCGCCCGTGTGACCCCATGGCCGCCTCTCCCTGCGCAAGGCTTTGCCGGCCACGTGGCTGTCACAGCCTCAAACCAAAATGGGGGAAGCAAAACTGGCGGAACTAAACAAATCGCAGCCGACGACGAGGGGGGGAAGGGAGAGGGGAGATCCTACTTTAAACTGGAAGAAATGTAACTTCCAAGAGCTAAGTTTTCTGCCCTCTGCTCGGAGAGATTTTAGCCGTACAACTTGACACGGAAGAAAACTGACAAGCTTGTCCCTTCCCTCCCTGGTTGTTTTAAGGCTTATAACATTTCAGCGGTCGCTCAAGCGTCTCTCTTCCCCCTCTTTTATTATGACCGTCCGTAGGGAGAAGGGACCACCGCATGGCAGCGGATCTCCCACGAGAGAACAACGCCAAGTCCAGGGGGAGAAGAAAGGAGGTTTTTGCGACAGCTGAGCAACCCGAAGGAGTCCCCGGAGTCTTAAAGCCCAATTCCCTGATCGCGGAAAGGACTCGAGCACTTCCTCACCGTCACGGAAACTCAGCCCTTCCTCCTCCCCCCCCCCTGCGTGCCTACTCTCGAAGCCGTAAAACTCTTCCCTCGAAGAGACGCCGCAACGCCTCCGGAGTACAACTCGCAGCAGGTCCTATCAATGCCCAGACATTACCATTATTTCGAGGCTATAATTGGAAGATATTTCCCCGTTTGGTCTTCCCGTTTTTCGATCAACAGGCACAAATCGTCTCCAGTAGTTCTCCTTCATCCAGAAAAGAAGCCTTTCTCGCCTGTTCCCATGCCTTCCTTACTCGTTTAATTTCACTTCTCCCCCGCGTCCCATTTGAACCGTCGGGCAGACCCGATCGCTCCCCATGCAAAATGCTAACTGCCAATCAACCCAAAGTCAGTCTTCCCCCGACCTCTGGCCTCGACAAAACTGGCTGGAAGAAGCCCTACTTCGCGGCTTGCGGAAAGCGACCCTTCTTTCTTCAAATCGCTCCTCTGAAATTCTTAACCTTCCTCTTGGTCTCCTCCTCCCACCCAGCAAAGAGGCCACAAAGCTCTGGCTTGGCCATGCAAATGTTTTTCCTCCCAGATGAGCAAACAGAGCCTCTGAAGGTACAAACTCCAATTTACACAGATCTTCGACATGCGCTCGACCTGATCACCTTTCCCTCCCCCCCCCCCAATTGCAGCCTTTGCTCGATTCCACCCCTCGCCCGAATTAAATCTTTAGCCGGAGCGCGCGGAGACACGCAAGCACGCCAGCGGCGCAATTTAAGCCTCCGCGTTACCCAGCTCACATTGTGCAACCGAGGGAAGAAAAGCTCAGACAAGCGTCTTACTCAGATACATTTTAGCCCCACATCTGGAAAAAAAAATTTAAAAAAAGGAGGGAAAGGGAAAAAAGAGAGAAAGAGGCTAGCTAGAACTTAACATTTAAAGGTTTGGAAGTTAAAAATAAATGGAAAGAACAGAAAATCCCAGATTTGGGGAGGGGGGGAGGATGAAAGAAATGATATTTGATTCCCGCCCACTATCCCCAGAAATAGTTAATAAAAGAAATAGTCCAACTCACTGTACTCATGAAGCAGGCGCATGGGGAGGGGAGAGAGGATGGGGGCACAATATGGCAGCAGTAGCAGCAATATGGGAAATGTGTCACAGAACAGCAGCGTCGCCGCCTCTGGCTTTCCCTGCCCTGCGAAGCAGCAACAGCAGCGGCGGAGCCACCTCCTCCCTCTGTCTCCCCATAGCAACAAGGCGTCCGAGCCATTAACTCCTCCTCCTTCTCCTCTTCCCGCATGCTAACCTTCCTTGCTCACCGCCAACTTTCGCCTCCCTTTATTCTAAATGGGCCGACTCCTTTCCTCGCTTCTCCTGGGACAGTCACAGAAGAACCGAATCCGTTCGAAAGGAAAAGGGCGGGCTGGTATTTTTTGCCGGGGTGGGGAGCGTTTAATTCATATTAATTCCTGTAAGTATGCACACACAACCGGCACCCCGTGGTCCTCTGAAGAAAAAGCCATGGAGTTCCTCTAGTTCCTTCCACACCTTGACCTTGAAATCAGTTCATTCAGAGAACATCCTAAAGTTTGTCTATTAGAAAAGTACAATTAATCTATTATTGGAATTGACTATATTATTGAGGGAAGAAGGTGGAAGAGTTCAGTTATATATAAAAGCAAAAACATGGCCAAGGTCTGACAGTGGAACAGATCACAAATTGCTCACATGCAAGTTCTAAGACAGCCAACCAATATCCAGGGCATGATCTTCACTATATATTCATCATTTGCAAGGAGAACACCAGGAAGTCCTGAACTTCATTGATTGGGAAGCAGAGGAACTATAAATAAGCTTTAAAAAGATGTTAAGGATAAATGTGAAAGAGAAAGCATGAAAAATGAAGAAACAGAAGAAAGCAAACTAGGTGTCAGAACAAACAACAGACATTTTGAAGAAAAGATGAGGTTGATAATTTGCTTAATACCTGATCACTTAACCATTTAAAGTTACAACAGACATCCCCCTCCAAGCTATTTATGAATTCCAGAGATCTGACAGTTGTAGGTGCCCCATGGTCACATGATCACATATCAGGTGCACGGCAACTAGCTCACCTTTACTGCTGGTTGCAGCTTTCCACAATCAGGTTATTGCGATTTACAACGTTTTTTGCCTGTTTCCAGCAAAAAACACCTATAGGTATACATGGATTTTTCTTAATGACTGCTGCATTTAATGACTGCTGCATCACTTAACGGTGCCATATTTGCTTAGTTGCTGTAAAAAATTTAAAATCAAGTCTGGCCAAATGGGTGCCTTGAGTTAAGATGTACAGCCTTCATTATTTATTCCAGGCTCCATTCCAGTCTTAAGTTAAGAACTAACTGTTGTGACTGATTCAAGGAACATCAAACAAGGACTAAAGGAGTGTAGTGAAATTATGACTACTAGAGATGTTAACATCCAAGATACCCTAGAAGACACTCCCTGCTTATGTGAATATATAATGCTAGAGGAGGAAATTAGATCAGCACTCCACTTGTTACTCAGTGAGAAGGCTGTAGGAATTGATGGAATATCTAAAAATATGGCAAGCAACAGAACAAGAAACTGTAAAAGTTCTAACAGCCTACGTCATCATACACAGCTGTTTGCTCTATGTTATCCTATACTTTCAGTTTTCCAACAGCATTGTATTTGTTCAGGTCAATATATGGTACTGTTTGTTTACATTTACATTCAGTAATATCTACATTTAAACATGGAGGCAATAAAATAAAATGACAAATAAGTGAGACAATCAGTATATTTACAGTATTTGAGAGTACTGTTCTATTATATAATTCTTTATTGACCAAGTGAGATTGGACATACAAGGAATTTACCTTGGTGCATATGCTCTCAGTGTACATAAAAGAAAAGATATATTCGATGGGAACCTATCATTGTTTTGGATGAAAAAAAAACATGATATGAACTATGTGATTAGAATTGGTTGCCTAGTTTTAAAAATGTAAGTAGTGCTGTGGAATGCTTGTACATTATGTTTCTGTTGACATGGCTGCTTCCAAGATACCAAGAACATGATTCTACTAATAATGTTCCAAAATCATACTTACGTAAAAATTACATAAATTTGTGTAAACTAAATAATGTTCTCTCTACTTATTTTTTACAAGTATGTTAACCTTCACTGTTGACAATATGATTAAAACTAAATTAAACAGATAAATCAACACAATACACTATATCAAAACAGTCACTACCAGCAAGTAAACCATCCTAGTCATAAAAATCACAAAACCAAATGACAATCAACCTCAAAAATGAAGTAACACTGTTTTAATAGTCTTACAAAAAAAAAATCACTAACAAGGGTCTGTACTCACCTTGAGGGCAAAGAATCCTAAAATAATGGGGTTCATACAAGAGCTCTTATCCCCTAATTTCTTTCAGGGACTGCACCTTGAATGTCCCTTACCTAGGGTGAGCAGGTTTTACCTGGAGCGAACAGCCCCTCAATTATCCTGGAGTGAAGCCATAAAGTGCTTTGAATAGAATTCTAAAATGGATACAGAAAAATAGATGCCATGTTGCAATAGTGATTCTCATCCTGGCCACATTTTATACCAACTGAAATTTCTGGACCACTTTCAAAGGCAGTTATTTATATTGTGTTTGACATTACAGGTAGTCCTTGTTTAGCAAGTTCCTTGTAGAGCAGGGGTATCAAACTCGATTTCATTGAGGGCCACATCAAGGTTGTGTTTGACCTCGGGGGGCTGGGTTGGGCATGGCCAGTTTGACATCACTCCTGTCGGCGCCTGTGGTGGCCCAAGCACTCTGTCAGCAAAAACAGGCTCCTAATGAATCTGTGGCCCTCCTGAGCTCCATTTTCGCTGGCAGAAGCACCACGGGCCAGTCCTTCGCTGTTTCCAGGGCGACCCTGCGGGCCAGATCTAAGTACCCTGCGGGCCGAATCCAGCCCTCAGGCCTTGAGTTTGACGCCCATGTTGTAGAGCAACTGTTCATAGTTACAATGGTAATTACAAAGTAACTTTGTAATAGTTCTCACATTTACAACCTTTGCAGGACCATAAAGCAAAGGAAACCTGAAGTACAGTAAGATCATAAGCACAGTCACTAAAAGTTGAGTTGCCAATCCAGTTGTGGTTAATAAATGAGAACTTTCCTATAATCAAGTCACATGGTGATGAAGGTAGGAGTTACTGTTACCAGAGTTTCATGGTCCAAGTAGGATTATAAACTGGCAAATCACTCTCAGATGAACAAAACCCATGGCTTCTGTTTGGTGTTTCAGAGAATGCCCGAGTCTAAAAAGATTCCAGGTTGCAGACTTGCTTCTTCATGTGGAAGGTGACCCTATCTATAGCTAACCTTGGAACTGCCTCTGAGTTAGTTTCCAGATAGGCAGCAACTATCTGGTTTGTACCATTCCAGACTCTCACAGCCTCTGGATACTGAATCAGAACTTCCAAAATGTCTCTACCTCAGCCTGGGAAGTTATATATCAACTGGATAGCTTCAGGATTCCCTACTCCCAGTGATTGTTGCTTGTCCACTAAGATCAAAAAGAAAGGATTTTCTCCAGGCTCCTTCACATAGGGAATGTCATCAATAGGGTTCATAAAATAAGGCTTTCTCAATTGCTGCCCCACTATCTCTGGAACAGCATTCTGCCAGAGATTAGATTGACCCCCACATTTTTTAGTTTTCAAAAGGAAATAAAGACCTGATTTTTTTTTTTCAACAAGACTTTGGGACTTGATAACATTATCTTGTTCTTCCTTGCAGGGAATGTCTAGATGTGCATTGTAGTGTCTGAGGTATTTGGGATTGTATATTTTTATACAAATTAGAAATGGAAATTTATTGAAAAATAATCCACACTAATTAATTGCTCCATTACCAAAGTAACAACCCAAATTCCCACAAGAGAAGCTGTGTAAGAACGAGCTGTGTAAGATGAGCACTAATGCACTGCAGCAAGCTGGAACACCAGAAAAAGGGAACAGACCAGCTACTGTATACATCTTCCAACAAAATGGGCACCCATGCAACTTTAACAAAAAGTCCTGACCACTCAATTCACTACAGCACAACAAACAGAAACTATGAAAAGGATAATACTGTCATACATCAAAAACATCTCAGAAACAACCAACAGATTTTTACAACCACATGGCATCACATACCATACAAACCAACTAAAGCCCTCCAAAACATGTTAACTAACCAAAAACCTCAGTAGCCCAAGAGGAGTAGGGGAGAATAGGAATAATCTATAGTATAACAGCCACCATGTAGGATTGGCAGGCAGACAGAGCACATCCTGAACACCGACTAGCAAACAGAAGACACAATGAAAACTCCTTAACCTCACAACATGTGGACAGACTCAACTGGGAAAATTGTGAGCATCCTAAACCAAGCCAAGAAAGATCTGCAAAGGATATCTCTCCTTTTCCCAACTTGCAAGTGATCAAGCAAGAAAATATGATTGATGTTATCAAACACCACAGATATATACAAAATGATTATTCACTAGGTCTTTTACCAGAGCAATCAATATTGTTTGCATCTGTGACATTCTATGTTGCATCTTAAACTACAATCCAGATTGAAAGTTGGATTATGATGCCAGCCTTTCCTTAGCTATTATCCCTGGGAGAGATCCAACAGGTGATAACCTATAATGAGGATAGGGATTCTTTATGTGAGTGGTGGGAAAAAGGGGTTACTTGAATTTTACAGGATTTTCTTTTGATTTTTTTAAAAAAAGTTTTGATTGTTTAAGAATTATAGTACAATTCCACCGTTTCCGGTTTCATGGTGTTAATATACATATACATATATACCTTCATAATATTTACATTGTTATTTACATGGTATTGATTAATTATCTTAATTTAAGAATACTGCCCGTAGGA